GTCTGGAAGGTTCCTATGATAGCAGCAGATATTTAATGTATTCATGCTGCTAAGCTAATAACAGTCACAGCAAATATGGGTTAGATGAAGATCATCTTAGGTGGAACAGTTGTGACCGTTATGGCAACATATTATGATATATGAACACATAGCGAGTTGAAGGTCAGGTGTCATTTTTTAAAATGAGTAGGTGAGGTAGAGTGCAAGCTAACATGGGTGTTAGCATGTTATAAGAACAACCTTCTGCATATGACGTGATATTTGCAGTGAGGTTGATGTGAGTGCATGTGTCTTTAATAAAGAAAAACCACAACCAGCAAATGAAATTACTTCACCAGGTGGCAGGCAGTAATGAAAATGGTCGGATTTAGGAAAACAAAAGAAAACAACACAATAAGAAAACACAATAAATGCTTTAATTTTGCAGCCTGTGACATGTAGTAATTATGCTAACTAATTGTTGTCTGTTTTTTTGAAGTTATTTTCCATTTAAATGTGACCATAATTACAAACTGCTTAATTAGGGTTTAACCGAAATGCAAAACAATTCCATTTATTTTGTTTGAATTTTTTTTGTGTATTTTTTATTTATTTATTTTTTTGTGTCTTTTTTCGGACATGAATACCTGGACATATTTTAAATTTTATTCCAAAGTTTTAAACTTTTTTTTAGCACAAAAACCAGCTGGCTGAACTCCCCAGCGTCTCTGAGCTTCGACAGTTTTCTGGGGGAAACCTTGATGCTGTTCATGATGGGATAGAATTATTTCATCAGATGAATGTGACACTTTCAGACATCTGAAACTGTAACCAAATATAAAACTGACTTATTGAGGGGCCCAATTTTCTTCCTGATATCTTGTCTTATTTTTGTCCAATTTGTGCAATTTTGTGTTTGATGGAATCGCAGCCGGTGAGGAAAAATGTTGGTAAATGTTGGGAACAGCTTCCTCTCACACTTTATGAACTCCGGTGACCATAATTCATCAGTGCTGCTGCACATCTGAACTCCCCAGGGCTGCTATCCCGACAGAACGGGAAGCGCTTCAGAAAACGACCCGATAAACAGATGGCCGTATAATAATCCGTCGGCTTCAAGCGGTCCGACCGGGGCGGAAAGAGAAGAATTAGCACACCTGCTGAGGTCAACCAAAAACCTGTTTAAAACACTTTTTAAATGCTTACCTTCAGCTTCATCTGCGGCTTTTCCTCCGAGTCCCGTGTCTGCCCTGTCCTCCTCCCTCTGAGTGACAGTCTGTCATTCAGCTGCTAAGTGCTGCCGCTTCAGAAACAGCAACAGTAAGGGGTTTCCCTGCAGATTAGCTCTGCAGTTTTAGGGATGAGGTGGGTAAAAAAATACAGTAGAGAAGGAGGAAAAGGCCAAGAGGGAGGTTGATAAAAGTTACATTATGCAGAAACAGGTTTAATTCAAGGAGGGATTGATAAATTACAATTCTATTAAATTTATGTAAAATGCAAAACCTGACAATGTGTTATCGCTAAATAGCAGCCTGAACATTTGAAAATAATTCAGATGAGTTAATGTAGTCTCACTGACCCATGTGCTCTCATGCAAAAGTTTCTGCATTAATATTTCACTCAAGCTTTAAATGTTTTCTTAAAAAACTCGTTACGGGATTGTGGTTATGAAATGTCTCCATTTTTTATTTTAAAACCTTTTTTTTCTGCTTTTTTGTTTTAAATACAGATATTAATGACTTATTTACGGCAACATCTTTGAGGTCTATAAAAATGTAAAGTAAATGTTCTTCAAGACTTTTAAACCAGTCTACAACTCAAAGTCAAAATAGTTGTTCACAGATCATGATTTTTAGTTCAATTTTTATTTTCAAAACTTTCAGTTTTAAAATAATTGTAGTTTCAAATCTTTCATTTGAGTTTCAAAAATGTATTTTCAGTTTAGTTTCTTTTTCAGTTTCAAACTTTCTTTCGGCTTCATAACAATTTGTCAGTTTCAAATCTTTTTCTGTAAAATTTTTGTTTTCTTCTAACAAACTTCAGGATTTACATTAAATCTTCCTGCAGCAGATTTATTCTAAATATGATAAATAAAGGCTGCTGTGTTCAGCGCGGGTCTGGTAATGGACGCGGCCGTCTCTGTTGGACACGTTGGGAATGAACAGAAGTAAAAATAAGGCGATCTGCCGCCCAGTTGTCATTTGACATTATGAGGCTTCAGAGTTCAGAGAGACTTTAATGGTTGAGATTCTTAATGTGGGAAATTAATCCCTGTTTCTTTAATAAGCTTCCAGATCAACTGCCATTCAAATAGAGAACAAGTCGCTCTCTAACCGCCTCACATGTCTCCATCACGTGTTCATTCACTTCCTGCACGTTTTACTTTTACTTGAGTAACTTTACTATGAAGTATTTCTACTCTTACTTGAGTAAAATGTCTGGATATTCAATCCAGTGTGAGTAACTTCACTGAGTAAAAACCTGGAGATGTTTTTAAGGTTTCATAAATTTTATATTGAAATTGATTTGGAGAAGTGTTTGTTTTGTCTTATTTTGTTATTTTATAATGATGTCATATTTGAATAATTTTCATTTGATCCTTAAAATACCCAAATTTCCAATTAACTTTATATTTTGATCCGTCTGATTATGTGATTTTTAAATATTAGATGTTTGATAATTTGATAATTTAATCAGTTCTTGAGTCGACTTTTTATCAATGTTTTTTTTACTATTGGTTAATTTCCTGGCAACTTTCTACTTTTACTTGAGTGATTTACTATGAAATATTTGTATTCTTACATAAGTAAACTTTCTGGATTTTCTTCCCATTGAATGAAAATCAAACATGTTATAACCAGAAATTCACCAGACTCAGACACACACCTGCAGTTTTTAAGTTTTATAATGAAAGAAAATGATTTGGGAAAATAAATCTTTTGTCATTTTGATCTTTAAAATACAAAATTTCCACTTAACTTCATATTTTGGTCCACCTGATTATATAATATTAAAAATATTAAATACTGATACTTAATATTTAATATCAAAATGTTAAGTATTGATATTAGTACCTGCTACTGGAGTAGACTTTGTACCAAATACGTTTTTACTCTTAACTGAGTATATTTTAAATCTTCCATCCAACTCTTATTCATACTTTTGAGTATGAATAAGAGTTGGATGAATAATTTTGTCAGTAAATGTGTCTCAGATGTTGCGTGTTAAATCTGCAGGCTGCTTGTGTTGCTGCTGATGTCACGCTCGTTGTGTGCAGGAAGTATTTCCTCTGTTTGAACTGCAGCTGCAGAGACTCGCTAAAGGTCAGCGCTGCGTGTTTGCTGCTCATATCCTCCGTGGCCAGCAGATGCACATGGCTCGCTGTGCGGCACGGAGCTTAATTTGAGATTAACATGTTACAGATTACCACTCTGACCTTCTGTGTCTAGTCAGCCGGCAATGGATGGATTAATGATGGCTCTCATCTTGGATAAAAATCGATGCAGTCAGGTTTAGTATGAAATTGGGATTAAAGAGAGGAAATCTTCAGTAAATCCATAACATGATGGTTATGAATATAAAATAAAGTCAACCTGAATTTCACCAGTTCCTGTTGGAAACACCTGTCCTCTGTGATTTTAGTGATCATCAAGATGTTTTTGGCAAATCAAGTTTATTTTATAATCACATGGCTTTAAATATTAATAAACATATACATGCAAAAATATCAGATTTTAGCCAAATGGCTAATCTCCATCTTTAATACCTTTTGTATATGATTAAGGAAAAATAATAAAAAGACGCCTCAGAGTACTGCACAAGGAAATTAAACAGTTGTTTACAATATGTGGTCAATAATGTTTCAGTGCTTTTGACCTCACATTGATAAGCAAGTTGACTAGTCTTAGCATAATGGCTCTAAAAACAGAGTTGTATACAGTTAAAGCTATGCTAAGCTAAACAAGCTAATTATGTGAGTAGAAAACTGCACCCTAACAAATCTTTTGCATATTTTTTGCTAAACAGATCCATCTGTTTTTGTTTTTCTGTTGTGGTAAATAAATAGTTTTGCCATTCCAGTTTTGCCCCATTGTTCATTGTAATTAAGACTTATATAAGACTTTATATAAATTTGAAATTTTAGTGTGCAAAAACAAGAAATCTGTGGAAAAACCCCCCACAAAAAAACATTTCAGAACACAGAGACTGTGTTTGCTTGTACGACTTGACAAGTTTAAATGAGCAGATTTCCCAGGTCGTATCTTTCTTTATTCTTCATGCACTAAAATATCCTTCCTGTCAATTGAGGGCAAACTGTCAGCTGCCCCCACATCCCTCCATCCTCCTTCATATTTGATGAGATTCATTAAATGTTGATTATGGACACACTTTACCACCCTGACATTTCGTTTGATCCTCCATCTGCTCCTTCTCAGCACTTCTGAGCCTGAAGAAAAACTCATGCTAGCTCAGACAAGCTAGGTGCTAATTGCTAGCATTTCAGTTAGAAAATAATAAACTATAAACTGGATATTAACCTTTTACTGCAAGCTTTTAATACAACTACCTTTATCAAGTAAAAATTGCTTTTTGGGTAAAATATTCAACTTCCAAAACATGTTTAGCTAGCATAAATTCTCTCTTATTTTAAGCTAACGTTGAAGAAAGCTATTTGCCACACCTCATGCAGGCCAAAGCTAGTTTTAGTTGTAGTTGTGATCAATGAAAGTCTTGCTCAAAGTACGTTTCTTTAGTTATCCCTCTAGCAACACATTTATCTTGTGCTTTCTACTCCCAAATTTGAAATAAACAAGCTGAGCTTAAGAAGAAAGCTAAGCACACATAAATCCCTTTCTGTCTAAACATTTAACCGGGTAAATTGTAAGAATTGCTTCTTGTTTAGTCAGTGTCCAGGCTCTAAGGTGGCCATTTGCTCTGATAAATGCCACCTGACAAGTGTGTGTGAATGTGTGTGTTCCTGTAGGCTAACATGTGCTGTTAACACTGTGTTTGCTCTGCAGAGCCCCAGCTGAAGGGCATCGTCACACGGCTCTACTGCAGACACGGATTCTACCTCCAGATGCTGCCGGATGGCACCATGGAAGGCACAAAGGACGAAAGCAGCTCCTTTTGTGAGTCAGAGAACATTTTATTTTATTTTGTAATTATAGATTTCACATTTCCTCTGCTCCAAAAGATATTAAACTTGACAACTTTTACTGTAACTTCAGGGGTTGTCTGCAAAATGATTATTAATTAGAGCATTTTTGCTTGGTTGCTGCTCTCATAAGGTTAAAATCGATAGCTGCAATAACACTGTTATGATATACACTGTAAAAACACAAAACCTTATCAAATATTTTGGTCTAGTTTCTAGTCCAAAAGTCTTAGCACAATGGAAATAACTAACAAGTAACTTTTTAGCAAGAAACATGAGCTTGTTTTACATCAATAATTCCATAATATTGCAAAAAAAAGTACAATATTTGTAAAGGTTTTTGTCTAATTTCTAAAAGAAATATTTTAGTACACTTAAAATAAAACAAAACTAACTTACAAGTAACTTTTCATCAAGGAGCTTTTTGAAGACAATAATTTCTCAATATTGATTGAAAAGTTCTTGTTTTAAGTAAAATTAGAACTGTAGTGTTTAGCATGTAGTTTCAATTATAAGTTACAATATCTAACTTCACTGGCAGATTATTTCATTTACAACTAGTACTTTTTCTTTTTAGAAATATGTAAAACAATTTCCTATATCTTGTTTAAAAGTTACTTGTATGTTAGTTTTGCCTAATTTCAAGTATTAAAGTATTAAAGTATTAAAATAAAAATGAGACAGAGATATACTAATGATTGTAAAGGTGAACGGTTAAAGCTGAGCTAAAAGATTAAAACAACTGCTAAAAATAAGAATATATAACGCTGAAAAGTAGTTTTAATTTAGTCTTGCCTACTTTCAAGTGTATTAAGGTAGAAGCGAAGCGAATATACTTGGTTTTTGCAATGCGTCATTAATCTGGTGTGAAAATGAACCTAAAAGTAAAAATAAAAAAACTAAGATAGGACGAGGCCAGATTTCTTTGCTTCAAGAGATGTTTATTGTTAAGTGTAATTTATGACATTTTTTTTTCCACCTCAATGTTGAAAGACAAAAAGCTTTAAACGCAGATTAATTTATGTTTTTTTTCGTGAAACTAACTTCTCTCAAAGATGAGAACTTCACCTGCTATGCTAAATAATTACCAGCATTTAAAAAACATTCAATAATAATACTATCTTGGATAAAACCTAAACATTTTTCCTTTTATTTTCACCTTCAGTTTTCATAGAAACAAATCATCGGCCCTCTATGGGTCGCCTCCTCTGCGATTACTGACTAAATCCACCGGATCCCAGGCTCTAGGAATCCCTTCAGCGCTCCCTCACAGATCAATAATATATTATACAATATCCCTGGTGTGGCAACACAGCAGGTTTTTTCTGTCAAAACAACAGTTTAGGTGGAAAACATCTAGTCGGCACAATTTCAGATTTACAACCTACTACAGCGGGTGGGGAAAAAGAGAAATCACAGTTTGAAGCTCGTACGTTTCATCGTTTCTTATTGAAATGTCAGAATGTGGCAGCTGAAGTGTTTCCAAACTCACAACCCAAACATTTGTCCTGAAGCTGGCCAAGGTTCCTGTAGCGTCTTCATTTGGGTTTCGACGAGTGAAACAAGCACAGCAGTCAGCTATCAACCTGGTGAGAGCAGAAAACAGCCATTTGAAAATTTAAAGACAGAGCAGCAGAGATAAGAATGTGATCAGCAGGGCTGGCTCCAACCTTTTTGGGGCCCTGAGCAGATCTTCTTTTGGGGCCCCCCTATATCAACATGTCAGATGCTTAATCATTCTTAAACTACTCTTAACATAACTACTGTCATTAGCATAATTTGTAATTAGCTTACATCATATTGATGCTATTATAGCTGTTGATTTTTGTCAGGTTGACAAAAATCAGCAAACTAAACAAAATATTTTAATCTTAAGTGTGCTACATTATTTTAACTATGTGAAACTAATATTGGCTGATAAACATTAAATTTACAGTAAACAAATTAATGTTAATTTGAACTTGTTAATTGAACTTGTTAATTTGAACTTGTTAATTGAACTTGTTAATTGAACTTGTTAATTAACATTAACAAGTTTAATTATCAATGTTAATTAACAAGGTTAATCTAATAGAAAGAGATCAACATATTAAATATGTACCAAATATGAAAATATCAAAATAGTTTTTCTATATGTAGTAGCACTTAGTTATTTTTATTAAATCTTATTGAAAATATATGCATTTTTATATCACACTAGCTTTTTGCTGTTGGGGGCCTCCTGGTGATATGGGGGCCCTAAGCAGCTCCTTAACTCTCATGTGCCTTGAGCCGGCCCTGCTGATCCAAGGTTGCCAGATTTGACTAACAGTTTCTAGCTGAAAACAAAATAAAACCCAAAAACTAAAAAAAACAAACTAGCTCAAAACTCAACCTCTAATAAAATGTATGACATGTAAATATGTATAAATGATAGTGTCCCATACTTCATCGACTGCACTCAGATTTGTGAAAATTAAAAACATTTTTGGCCGTTTTTTGTTGTAAACTGGTTGGAACCAAAATCCATTGAGCCTGTTCAGGTCTTGACTCTTTAAACACAATGAAAGTGGAGTTTTTTGTGCCGATTTTCACTTATCAATCACGATGCTGCACTGTATTACCAATGGTTAACTAAATCAACCAGTTATTAATCTTTGATGTTGTCACTTTGGATAGAATCTATAAATTTCAAAATAAATTTACAAATAAGACAAGAACAATGAAATCATTAGATATTTTGAATATCTAAAACAGGAGGCATGTACATAACATGACAAAAATAACTCATTTTTATGTAAACTTAAAGCTCTACATCATTCTGGTTCAGATCACTGACCTTTTAATACTGAGAAAATCAAGACCCATCCCTTTTTTTAAAGATTTAATTTCACATTGAGACAATTTCTCGGGTCTTTCTACCACAAAAACGTCAGAAATCAAGTTTTTCCACAGCAACCATCAATGGGAAAACATAGGATTTAAAAAAAAAGAAGTTTTGTTGTGTTTTCTGCCACACAATCACAACTATTTCTAAAGAATTTTGTCCTTCTAAAAACCTGCCAAATGTTCTGAAAAACAGCCCAAATTTTAGCAACCTAGTTGTTATGTTTTTCCTTCATCCAGCCAAACATTTTCAAAATCAGCCCAATCGGGCGGAAACCTGCCCAACCTGGCAACGCCGACCACGTCCAGAAAGCTTCGATTATTCCCGCTCTTATGTAACCGCACACCTACGCTCCGCGGCTGAACTTTAAACAGTCTCATGTCCAATCTGAAATATTCATCGCGTAATACCGCAGGGCACATCCGAAGGCGAGCGGGGCTGATTTCCCAGACAGGTGTAAAGATTGTTGTTGTGTAACGCCGCTTCGCTCCTCATGTGGCGGCGCGTCGAACATCAGTCAGCGGAGGTCACCCCCGCATTCGCCGGCTCGTTTTATAACGGCTGTAACTCCATCACACTCCATTTTTTCCTCTTTTTTTTTTTTTTGTACATTCTCAAGTCACAGCTCGGAAATTGTTCCCTTCCCGCCAGAGTTGGATTATTTAGTCGCTCACATCATTGGAAACCGGTATCAATCAGCAGCACAATCATCTACCTGACTGCACAGAGCATTAAAGGAGGAGGGGGAAATTGCTGTGTGAGCATGTTCTGCAGCGCCGGGTGGGATATGCATGAAAGAGACCTTCACTGTAAGACGTTGCTTCAGAGCAGACAGCCTTCTGTTACAGCTGCAGCTCCTCCTCACTGTCATGTCTAAGATGTGGGGAGATTCCTGAGAATCAGCTGCTGCTAGCTTTCAGCCGCTCGTTTTATGGGTTTGATTTTATTGCATAAATGCGCTAACATGGAGCCATCTTTACCTTTCTAATTGTTGAATCAGGAATCCTTTAAGATTTTGATTCCAATTTTGTGTGGTGTGTTAAAGGGGACCTAATATGCATAATTAAAATGTTTTATTTTTATGTGCTAACTTAGTGATCCTACTGCTTCTAAAAACAGCCCTAAAAAAAACATTCAGTCAGTTTAATGTTTTCTGGTGTCTGGAAAATGAGCCGTTTCAAAAACCTTTGGGATGTAATCTATGATTTTTAAAGGAGCGGTGTTATGTTTTTGAACTTTAAAATTCAAAAATACTTTATTGATCCCAGATGGAAATTAAATGTTATTTGATATCAACAGATCAAATAACTCTTTAAATATTTGAGTTAATATGAGCTACATCATGTCATGATGATGTTCGCTCATCAAACACTTACCTGATTATTGCTTTGGTTCTTTCATGCATGTTTGAGAAATCTTTTAGTCTTCATGGCAACTGTCCAAAATGCCTGGGTGGACCTAGCCCTGCCTTCAAGGCACAGCTCCTCCTCAAAGCTTCAGCCTCACAGAGCAACTGCTACTCACCCACTCAGTTCCTTCAGACTAGCCACCAGCAATTAGCAACACCTGGCAGCACTGAAATCATTATATTAACTATTTCTCAGTGAAACGCTGGTAAAAATGTTGCGAAAGACTGAATACAAAACATTATTGTGATGACGTGCTGAAATCGGAGTGACGGAAAGAGCTTCTTAAAGAGACAGAAGCCCAGTTTCAAGGCGTTAAATTGCGTCAAATTTTGTTAAAGTAAAATTTATTTGATGTACATCAATTTTATAAGCTACTATACTATATAAGAAATTTAAAAATATTCAGAAATGATAAAACACAACTATTGAAAAGAAAATTATTGAGCTCATTTTAATTTTTCTAATGATTGATTGCTTATTGAGTCAGACCTGTGAAACATAGTCCTCTGTGTTTTTGATTCATTTGAAACGATAACAAGCTACTACTTCTTGTTGGAGACTTGGTCTCCTGAGAGAGTGACCCACTTCAGCCAGAATTAAGGGTAAGGTAATTAAAGTTAAAAAAAAAATCTGTCAACTGCTTTCTAACTAAAAGGAAGAAGTCTCCCTCTCCTCTCCTCGCCTCATTTTTCTGTTCGC